ATATATATATATATATATATATATCACTTTCTTCAAGAGATGATCTTACTTATTTCTGTCCAACCAGTTTTTTACATACCTTCATTTATTTTGAAGTACAAAACTCACATAATCAGAGCTTCTGTTAATTGCTTATGAATTTGGTGCATAGAATATTAGCAGCAATTAAAGTCATTGTGTTTATATGCACTTTAGATCGACTATGTCCACCATAACAGCAATTCGATTAACACAGAGGAAAATAAATGTTATATAAATCCCAATTCTTCGAATCGTAGTGCAGTAGGCTTCCTTTGAAAATGTACAATATTCAATAGGATGAGAATATCTTTGTCATTTGCATGCTACTACATACAAACATCGTATTAAGACGTTTTAAATAATCAAGCAAAAAGGACTTTAAAAAGAAAGTTAAATTAACACACCATTTGACCTACATATTTACAAGTGGGAATAAATAACTCTGGCTCAGTTCGGTGTTTTTTTTTTCTTTGTTCTTATTCTGCACTTTTTAAACAATAGAAAAGAAATGCAAGGACGGATTTCATGTGATTTCGCAGGTACGCATGAGTTCCTTCACATACACGGGTTGTGTCGAGCAGAAGAAACGAAAAAAAAGAGAGAGAGAAGAGAGAGTGGTTAAGGGCCATGCTTTTCATCCAAGTGCTGTATGAGGAAGAGAGAGACAGGACCTGGCGCGTTTGGAGTACCGTACATGTCCCGCATGCAGGATTGGTGGGGTAATGCAGACTTGAGCAATGCTTGAGGGCCCTAAAAGTTCATAAGTCCCCTCAACCTCAGTTCATGACTGAGAAATGTCAAGGATGTATTGCTATCTCCCTTTCTTGCTTATAAGTGTTTTAATATGATTATTGTTCCTTACAAAGTCCCTTCACAGGCTGAAGTTTCGTTTCCAGTATGTTCTCATCTTCATTAAGACTCGTAAATCGGCTAAGACCAAAAAAAAAAAAAAAAAAACAGATTAAGGAAGCGACTGTATGTCTATAAACATGTCGGACTTTGCAGTTAGCCTATAACTAAAAAAAAAAAAAAATTATTACAGAATCCAAAACTAATGGGTCTTTGGAGGTTATGCGTGATCCCATATTTACTAACCTTAAGACTTTTATGGTACAGTACTATATGTACACAAATAATGAGTGAAGACTTTAAATATGTCGTTGTAATGTTAGACTCTACACTCTTAAAAATAAAGGTTCTTTAATGTATCTTTTCAGCACTTTAAGTTCAGCAAAGAACTTGACTTGTTTGTCAATAACCATTTTGGCGGTAAAAGTGGGTAGTTCTTTGGAAAAGAAGAGCTGGATGTTACATTATGGGTTCTCTTGATTTGCACATTGGGTTTTGTAAAGCACCACCTAGATATTTCTCTATAGAGTCTTTGAGAATAAAATATTTATTTGTGGAACGTAAAAAGGTTCTCCTATGGCATCAGACCTTTATTTTTAAGAGTGTATGCTCTAAAGTGGACATTGAGTATTTAAGATAAGAACTGCAAATAAAATTCACTCTGAAAATCATAAAAAAATTAAGGTTTAAAAAACGAATACGTTGGTGCGGAAAAAGTCTTTAACAAGAATTACTCTCACATGAAGAATTCCGTGGAAGTGTTTTTTCCGTGAGTGCCGTTGGACGGGTCCCGAGTGTTGCCGCCGCCGTTAAAGGTTCGGCTCGCGAGCTTTTCGTACTTCTCCTTGTACAGGTCCCGCTCTTTTATCAGACGCGCCACGTCTTGCTTGAGTTGCTCCACCTGACTCTGAAGCGTACACTTTTCGCTCTCGAGCATGTGGCGCTGCTGCACGCGCTTGTAGCGGCACGACTGTGCATAGCCGCGGTTCTTCAGGGTTCGCCGTTTCTGCTTGAGACGGATCACCTCTTCTTTGCTGAAGCCTCTCAGTTGCCGGTTAAGCTCGCGCACTGTCATGCTCACCAGCTGCTCGTCTGAGAAGCGGTCCTCGATGCGCGCGTGGTGGCCGTGGTGATGATGGTGGTGGTGGTGCACCGGGTGGTGGTGACCGTTCGTGGCCGTCGAGAGGTCATCTCCGACGTATTGCTGACCACGGAATCCCTCGTAGGGCTGGTGGTGATGGTGGTGGTGGTGCGAGTTACCGATAAGCGCTTCCACCGCGTCCTCGGGCGTCAGGTTGAGGGCCTCTGGACTGATGTGATGCTGGTAGTTAGGAATCCAGTAGAGATCTTCCAGCTGCGGCTTGCCCGAGGAGCCTTGGTTGTTGTTGCCACCGTTGTTGTTGTTGACACCATTTCCGAGGTTCTGCCCAGGCTGCGATCCGGGACTGGGGGCACAGAAACTGGGCGAGGAAGGCACCGAGGAGCAGGGTGTGCTGATTGGGGTGGAGGATAGCGAGCCCGGAGGCAGGCGATGGCAATAGCGGTCGGCCTCCGGGGGCTCTTTCTTGACTTCAAACTTCATGAGGTCGAAGTCGTTGACATATTCAATAGCCAGGGGGCTGTTGGGCAAATCTGCGCTCATGGCGAGATCGGTGGCCATGTCAGTCCATGCGACGACACCTACCCTACCAGCCAAAGCGACACGCGGGGGCCCGGAGGCAGGCGAGGGCAATAGCGGTCGGCCTCCGGGGGCTCTTTCTTGACTTCAAACTTCATGAGGTCGAAGTCGTTGACATATTCAATAGCCAGGGGGCTGTTGGGCAAATCTGCGCTCATGGCGAGATCGGTGGCCATGTCAGTCCATGCGACGACACCTACCCTACCAGCCAAAGCGACACGCGGGGGTTTCACTGGGATTATGAATAATATGACTGATGAATATGAGTGCCCAGGGTTTAATACATTAGCACGAGCTTCTATTTATAGTGCAGCAAGATATACATATGCCCATGCATGTAAATGTACTTATCCTACTGCCAGTTTGCCTCTTGTTGACAACTTATCCCAGGTCAAATTCACGCCTTAATATCACTGGCCAGGGCGGCAGAAACTTGAGACTCGTGAACTCAAAACCACCAACCTGACTCGTCCTCGCTTCACCGTGTTAAAGCTTACATGTAGTTTCAGAGAAATCGTCCTTTGAGTAACAGAGACTTCAAATATCCTTCTTCACCTCCGTGTTTTAAGTTCCGTCTAACTGGAGGCTATAAAGTTTAAGCTTTCATGGGAAGAAAGCGAGAACTTTCCTCACATGTCGCAGAAAAGTCCGCCACACAACAAATGCGCGCGCGTCAAGTTGAGAAAACGTCAGACTTTACCTCGAAGTCCAAAGGAATGATGCTGCTGGTTTTTTTTTACAGTCACCAGCAAACGCGGACCGCTACAATGTACGTGACAAATCTCAGTATAAGTTCCTCTGGTGGGACGCTCCGACGCAGCCCGACGAAGGATGAGGAATTCTGGCTACTAAATTCACCTCCCTCCGCTGTCTCTTTTAAAGTTATATGGACTGCTGTCACCGTTGCTTTTCGTTTACGGTTAGAGCTTCTTTTTGCACTGTTGTCCACCGCTGACACGCAGTATCACTGAAGCACTGACAGGGGCAATGTACCACTTTATACTCATGGAGCGTCCCACCCAGAGAACGGAAAGGACCAATGGGAGGGGCGTAGCAGTAGACATGCATATTCCTATAGCAACACATCTGTGTGGCAGCTGAGCAGAACGCGCTCAACCGCCCCCTAGCGACGCCCACCCTGCAACCGCACGTGGAAGGTGAGCGCGAGGAAAGGAAATAGCCCAGCTTGTCTTACTTAGAAAATGTTTATTTAGAACAGAGCAAACACTTCTTAAACGTTATATGCAATGCAAATGATTTAGGGATAACTTAAAAAAACACATTTATAAAACGGATTGTACACGTTATAATTTGTATGACCAATTAAATTCTATATTTCGTAGAAACACATGAAATTATTTTTAAATCATCATATAATTGAATTGATTTAAGCAGCTATTTTTTTTTACTTCAAAACTAAAAGCCAGTCTTATGAGAATTGCAATAGGCCTAGAATGAGAGCAAAATTAATACACAATTAGAGGAAAATTATGACGCAATAGGCCTAACACAATGTTTGCACTTTTAACACTTTGCTAAGTTATTTTATCATTTAAAAATTTAAATATGCTCCACTAATCTCCAGTGCAACGACAATTAAGAGCAATATAAACGAACTATGCGTATTTCACGCAGCATCACATTTCCTTTCACAACAATTATTTATTAACAATTAATTATTTGTTCAGTTATTATTTATTTATTAATTTATCAAAAGCGTGCTATCGTTTAGAATCCAGGAGGTATGACATTAGACAATTATTCTAAAAATCCCTAGTGTGTTTGGACAGACCGTTTAAATTTTTAATTGATTAGGCTAGATAATTATGTATTAAACTGCATATTTCCTCAATGTGTCGTAACCCCGTGAACAGTCATTCAGTGTATTGATCTGATAGGATAACACACGCAACTTTCCTCCCTGCTTATGACCTATAGGCGGTGATGAACTCAATAACGCGTGATCCAGCAATAAAATCAATCCACATTTCCGCCGGATAAGGAAAAAGTTGTATGAGTTAATTATGATCCGCCTCGCCAGTGCCAGCCACGCTCCGGATTTCTTTCGCAATTAACCTCTAATTGCATCTCGACTCATCTGCACGGATCGACAAATAATTAAGCCCCACGCAGCGCGCGCCTTCATCACCACAGCATATGTCTTAATCAGAGGAGCCAGTCTCGCGTTGAAGGAAGTACCCAAGATGAGGGTCAGTCTAACACCCTATGCCAGGCCAGGTCCTTATTGCAGTGTAAGGATACTGAGGAATGTAGATCAATATAAATATTGCTTGAAATATATCATAGTGCTTTGTTAAAAATAAAAGAGACAGAAAGACATAAGGAGGAGAGACACTTAAAGGAATAGTTCACCCAAAAATTTAATTTCTTGAAGTTGTACTCACCCTCAAGGCCATCCGAGATGTAGATTCGTTTTTCTTCATCGGATCAGATTTGAGAAATTTAGCACAACATCACTTGCTCACTAATGGATCCTCTCCAGTGAATGGGTGCCGTCAGAATGAGAGTCTGTACAGCTGATAAATGCACGACTCAAGTCCATCAATTAATGTCTTGGGAAGCAAAAGCTGTGAGTTTGTAATAAACAAGTTTTTAATTTCAAAATGTTGCTTTTGGCTAAAATATGAGTTGTCTATTTATAATATTGCTTTCTCCAGTGAAAAAAGTCGTCTCATCTGAATCAGGAGAGAAATATGCACAGATCAAGCACTGTTTACAAGCCAAAACAGTTCCAAACAAATATGTCTAATTTTGATGTGAGAGAACAACAGGGAATGGACTTTTTCACTGGATTTCGAAGAATTATGGACTGTTATTTTGGTCAAAAGTGACGGTTTAAATTTCAAATGCCTTAATCATGGATTTGTTTTTTTACAAACACGCAGCTTTTCACTTCATAAGACTTTAATTGATGGACTGGATTACTTGTGGATTATTGTGGTGCTTTTAGTATCTCTTATTCTGACAGCACCCATTCACTGCAGATAATCCATTGGTGAGGAAGTCATATAATGTTACATTACTCCAAATCTATTCCGATGAAGAAACAAACTCATCTACATCCTGGATGGCCTGAGGGTTAGTACATTTTCAGCAAATTTTCATTTTTGGGTGAACTATTCCCTTAAAGGCAGAGTAAGCGATTTCTGGTAGCCAATGTTGATATTTGAAATCACCAAAACAAACACGCCCCTACCCCAAAAGGGTCTTGCCCCTATTTTGATAGCTCCGCCCCACATAAACGTACGCAACCCAGGCAAGTGTTTGACAGGTCTTTACATTATGCAGTACTCAGTAATTCCTCACTCTGTAATTGGCTCAGATGCTTAATACTTGCCAGTTTGTATTAATGTATGTGTATTTTCTAGGCTTCAATATCAATTATCAAAATAAAATCTGCTATAACTTACTTCTGAGACCTCTGCTAACTTTATGTAACATGATAAGACTTTCTTTACAGGTGCCAATGAGTGAAATACAGACATGCTTGAGGCTCAAATCTGCCAACGGAGGGGAAAAAAGAAAAGCCTAAGAGGACGGGACAAATCATATCAAGGTATTTGAAGTTGAAGGTGCAGTAAGTCATTATGGATGTTTTATCAAATAAGCACGAGTGGACCTCAAAGTCCAAGCTAAGCAGTCCACTTTGAAAATGCCACATTTAAGAAGATCTGCCATCGTCCATTCATTGAGCGGAGGTGGGCGGGTGTGGATGTGGCCGAGGGCTTGAGACATAAATTTTGAAGTCAGGGCTTTCATTGTGCCTTTTCATATTGGGAGTTAGCTGCTGGTGCAGTTCTACCGATTTAAGCAAAATGGACATCAGCACGTCCAAGGAGAAAGAAAAAGAAAAAAAAAAAAAAAAGTATGATGTGGAAGAGAGAAGGGGGGTTTGGACTAGACATCTGTGAAAATGACTGAGACGGATTTGTCCGGTTAACCCCTCTTTAGCCAAAATAGTTGAGAGGTGCGAGGTGGAGTAGGGGGTTATCGGAAGAAGGTTTGGAAAGGAGGTTTTTGTGGGCCTCAAAATCTCAAAAATGCCTGTCCAAAGACTCAGCAGTAATCATTTGACTACATTCACACTAACAAGTATACAAAGTTCTATGAAGTTCTAAGCGAAAAAGTGAGTTAGAAAGAGCAAGATGACAGAAAAAAGCATGTTAAGTGTTAAAGAGAAAAAGAGACCGATTCCTTCAAGAGAACCAAAAAAGTTGAAATGGACATGGGAAGAGATTTTTAAAAATGTACTAAAACTTGGTGCTTTAAAAATAGCATACAGTACGAAAAATGGCAAAAAGATCAACAGAAATAAAGCACAAGCAGAAAGATTGGAAAAAGAGAGCAGCACGAAAAAGGACAGAGGACATACGTATATACTAATGACTAACTACTTGCACTGAAAGTATGATCTTTATTGATGGGCTGGAGTCTTTGCTGAGCTGTAACAAGTTTGTCTTTTTTATGCCTAGGTGATCTATTGAGGTAGAGAAAAATTACACTTGACCTTTCATTCTTTCCTTTTCTCATTCATGTGAGATTGTCCTCGAAAAAAATGTGAATGTTTTCCTCCTTTCTCTCTCTCCTCCTTCGTTCTCTTTCACATGCGCTTTTACTAAAAATTGAAATATTGATCTTAATTAGAGTTTGCAGAGCTCAGCAGCTCGCGTTGAGCTTTGAGACAAGCGGCAGCAGACATCTGTCTAAGGCACTTACATCCTCGCCGTCAGAGCGAGAGAACGAGAGGGACGGGGAGGGTGAGAAAAGAAAGAGTGATTGCTCCTTGAATTTCTCTTTCCCTTCCCACGCAGATAACAGAAACTGGTGAGTGACCATAGTTAAAGAGCATCATGATTACGATGTATGCATCACACCTCACATCTTTTCCCACCTTACATATTTTTCTGCCCTTCTGTACAAATCATCTAAGGATTATGACTTTACTGTACAAACTCTGAAGTTTTTGAGTTCTATGGTAATTATTTAGGGGTTATTTTGTTTGACAA